CGCGGGGCCGCGTGTAGCTGCTGTCGTGCTGCAGCGTATCGAACCATTCCTCCACTGCAGCAGCAGTCTGCTGCTCCGCTGCTGCTGCTGCTGCTGCTCCTGCTGATGCTGCTGATGCTGCTGCTGCTGCTGCTGGGCTGGCAGCAACTTCGGCGTCCCCTTCAGCTTCTGCTGCTGCTGCAGCAGGACCGGCAGCACCATTTTGCACTGCTGTTCCTTCTTGCTCCTGCTGCTGCTCCTGCTGCTGCTGCTGCTGCTGCTGCTGCTGCTGCTGCTGCTCTTGCTGCTGCAGTTGTGTGTGTAGATGATGCTGAAGCATGGGTTCAAAGGAGTTTTGTGCTGCTGCTGCCTTGAGTAGCTGTATTTTTTGTTGCTGCTGCATGCGAGCAGCAGCAGCAGCAAGTTTGTTTGCTGCTGCTGCTCTCGCTCTGGCCTTGAGACAGTGGCTGAGTGCATGCGCTGCAGCAGCAGCACGAACAGCAGCAGCAGCGTAGATGTTCTGCTGCGGGAACAACACATCCGCATACGAGTGCAGCAAGTGATAGAAGTGATAAATACATTCAGGCAACGCGCTGCTGCTGCTGCTGCTGCTGCTGCTGTTGCTGCTGCTGCTGCTGGAGTCCCCGTTGCTGCTGCTGCTGCTGGACTTTCCACTGCTGCTGCTGCTGCTGTTGGTCTTGCCCTTGTTGCTGCTGCTGCTCTCACTATCACCACCACCACTGCTTCTGCTGCTGCTGCTGCTGTTGCTGCTGCTGCTGCTGCTGCTGCTGCTGCAGTTCATTGGTTTAAGCGGGGGGTAGTCTGTCTCTGCGCGGCAGCACCGCTGCTGCTGCAGCAGCTGCTGCAGCCCTAGAGAGACACAAAGGGGGCCCCCATAAGCATCAACAGCAAAGGGGCCCACCTGCGTATACACCGCAAGAGGGTCCGAGGGGTACTGCTGCTGCAGCACACCCTCTAAATATGTCCTGCTGCTGTTCCTCCTGCTGCTGCTGCTGCTGCTGCTGCTGCTGCTGCTGCTGCTGCTGCTGCAGAAAAAAGCAGCAGGATAAGCGAGAGAAGGGTTGGGGGTCAATGGAGACAGCCGAGCTGTGAAGGGGAGACAACCAGGAACAGAGAGAGATACCTCTTCTAGCTGCTGCTGCTGCTGCTGCTGCTGCTGCTGCTGCTGCTGCTGCAGCAAATAGGTCCCTGAGACAGAACAGAAAGCCGTGCCAGCAACACTCTCAACGCATGCATCCAACAGACTCAAACCACCATTGCTGCTGCTGCTGCTGTTGCTGCTGCTGCTGCTCTTGTCTCCAGCCTTCCTCTTGCCCCTTGTGCTGCTGCTGCTGCTGCTGCTGCTGCTGCNTGCTGCTGCTGCTGCTGCTGCTGCTGCTGCGCATCGCCGCTACAAACAGCTGCCGTGCTGCAGCAGCAGCATCGTCTAGCCGCTCATCGAAGGTAACAGAATAGTCAAATGGAGGCAGTGCTGCTGCTGCTGCTTCTGCTGCTGCTGCTGCTTCTGCTGCTGCTGCTGCTGCACTGCCCTGCTTCTCAGGAGGCTCCTTATCAACAGCAGCAGCAGCAGCTTCTGCTGCTGCTGCTGCTGCTGTTGCTGCTAGGTGTGCTGCAGCACTGGCGAGCCCAAATGCCTCCATAGTAAACCGACACGGCTTCTGCCCCTCAACTGCAGCAGCAGCAGCAGGAGCAGCAGCAGCAGGAGCAGCAGCAGAGTCCGAGGATACTGAGACAGCTTCGTCTTCATCATCGGTGTCTGCTGCTGCTTCTGCTGCTTCTGCTGCTGCTGCTGCTTCTGCTGCTGCTGCTGTTTCAGGTTTATCGTCACCGTCAACAGACTCATCCTCCTCGTCGCTTGCTGCTGCTGCTGCTGCTGCTGCTGCTGCAGCAGCAGGGTGTTGCTGCTGCTGCTCGTCGTCTGTATCGGGGTTGCTGCTGCTGCTGCTGCTCTCCCCTTCACTCTCATCGCTGAGGATGCCTCTTGCTGCAGCAGACGGCGGGACAAACGCAGCAGC